AAATATTATTATACCAAATTTTATTTAAATATTTTAACAATTTAAAAAAGTAGATCAGAGCTAAAAAAATGCAAAAACACAGGCAAATTTGCCTGTATTGGCCTACAATCTAAGGGATAACAATTTTAAACTATGAAATTTTAGTTATTTATTTAGCAATTTAAAATCTAAAATTTTTAATACTTGTATTAATTAATTCACTAATTGTATTTTTGAACTTGAATATTTTAATTAATTTTTTAAACATTTTATCAGTATTCAAGAATTTTTTTTACTACTGAACTTTGGTAATGATCACTGCCAAATCAGGTTGAAAATGTTAATTAAAAAATATATAAACTTATTTATTATATAGCAAGTATTCAAACTTGTTTATTTTGTAGATTTTACAATATATGCCTTGAAATAGATTTGATCTAAAAATAGCTGCTTACACTCTATCAAGCAGGTTTAGTTGTATATACTTCTTCTAAATAATACTGCCTAAAAATTTTTTTATATTTTATATATGCTTTTATTTACATTATACTTACTATGTTCAGGATTTGCTAAATGTTTATACTTTGGATCAGGATTACTACAGTATTAATTAAAAACTAATTACTTTTAGTATACAAGCCTTTTTTATCAAGTAGATTTATTGAAAAATTTCTCACATTTATGTATGTTTTTTTATACAGTACTCTGTGTACTATATTTAAAATTTGTTAAACGATTATACCTTGGATCTGGATTATTATTAATTCAAAAATGGTTGCTTTTAATATATAAGCACTTTCTATTAAACAGGTTTATTTATTAATTATATATATATTTTACCTTTTTTTTACACAGTACCAATGCTAATCCTCTAAAAAAATTTTTTTTAGGACCTCTGATCTTTATTGATAACATATCTAACCCATCTTCTTTACTTTTGATATATCTTATTAAATATAAAAATTTATTATAATGATGCACTTTTAGTTATAAATTCATTACAATGATGATTATCAAAGTATTTGAATAAATATTTATAGCATAAGGTGCAATTACTTATAAAACCTAACTTAAATAAGTAAATACTAACTAAATGTTTATTGGTATGAATGATTAGGCAATATGCAGATTAGTGCTAATTATTTATGTAGTCAAAACTATTTTAGCATAATTTTGACTTGTGACAAAACTATTATAGTTTATGTTATAACTAACTTTGGATTGAATTCTACTGCATATTTTATTTGTAATAGTTAAAAATTAATAAGATACAATATATCATATAAATATGTATTATTTGAAGCTGGACTATCAAAACTTTAATGCATAAATTAAATTTTTTTTTTATTTAAATAAAAATTTTTTTGTCAATCTGCAAACTACTTGATTAAAATAGTTTAGATTTTTATGTTAATGAAAAGGATTGTATATTGTATAATCTAAATATGGATTACAAAAGATTATTGATACAGATTTTGTCAGAATAATTCAGGTTGTATATCAATGAATTGCATCTTTAGCATACAGTGCAAGAGCAAATATGTAAATTATAAGTAATTAGCAATCTGATGTGTAAATGATTAAGTTAGTTAAAAAGCAAGGTTTATTGATTATCTAATATCGATATAATTCAATTGTAATAAAACACAAGAATTGTAGAAGTAAGAACCAGTTTGTGCACTTTATTGCATTTTGTATATTGATGTAAATTTGTAGATCACTGCAAAAATAGCACTAGGATATCATAACAACCATATAACCAAATCTACTGAAGCTGTTTTATTTTAATTCTACATATCTATAGAATTAAAATAAAACAATTTCAGTCAGATTGGTTGTTATAATATCACTAATGCTATTTTTTGCTATTACTAAAATTCACTGGCTCTAAATCAGACAACAATCAGGTGATTGTATAGGTGTGCAGCAATTTTCAAATTTGATCAAAGTTATATCAAAATATGCAAACCATAATAAATCTGGATTAGCCAACTCAAATATAAAACTGAATTTTTATTTTTCTAATTTGACAAAACTGGTTGTTATAATTTATATTGTTACTCCTTACATGCATGCATATTTTAGATATTCAATAAAAGTTGAAAAATAAGATTTATTTTGGTTATCTAATATTGATATATAATAAAATAAATCAAAGTTAAAAAAAAAGATTTATTTTGATAATCTGATATTAATATGAATCAAAGTTAAAAAGCAAGATTTATTTTGGTTATCTGATATATATTAACATATTGTTTAATTATAAACAAGGTTTATTTGAGATTAAGATATATTAAATTTTTACATGTGGTCATGAATTAAAAAGTCAGCAATCTTAAAAAAAATTGTATATTTTGATTAAGTACTATCACTATAATTGTAACCTTAATTTAAAAAATATATCAAAAAATTGTATAAAATAACTGTCTTAAAAACATTAAATTATAAAAGCTTTGGTATCTAAATTTTGTGCAATTAAAATCTTTAATTTTTTTTATAAAAATTAAAAAAATATAGATGATATGGAGAACTTACCTATTGATACTTATTCTGAAGCTAAAACTATTTTGACAACACTTTTAGCTTTAAGTGCTAATAGTCTAACTTAAAAGAAACAAAAAGCTGCATTGCAATCTGTCAATATAAGCATAAAATTCTATAATAATCAAAGCCATACATTTTATTTTTTTTATTCAAATTTAAATGATTCTTTCATTGCTTATTGCAAAGTATGTGAAATGAATCTATCTAGTATATGACAAAAGCCTTATTCATATAATTGAAAAGGTAAAAATATAACAAATCTTATTAACTATTTACATAATAAACACTGCATTACAAAAGAAAATTATTTAGAATTTTTGAATGAAGATAATAAAATACTATATATATGAATGTTATTAACATTTAAAATTAAAATTAAGAGTAATTTTTTTTGTTAATACTTGTAGTCTCAACATGACTAAACCAAAATAACTGAATATACAAAGACACATGTTCAATAAAATGACAAGAACTTATTACTTAGATGCTTGTTTCTTTTATTATTAAATTTGTTCAACCTCTGTATATTTTACAAAATCTATTTTTTTATGAACTTTTTCTTACTTGTGAGCCTAGTTATAAAATCTTATGCAATAAAACCATAAAGGCTATAATTTATAATTTGTTTATATGAAATAAAAAACAACTTTGCTTATTTTTAAGTAATAATGTTGTTGTCATTCATTTAACTACTGATTTGTGAATAACAAAATCTCATTATAGGTATCTTGATATAACAGCAGCATGGTTAGCATCTAATTTTGAATTTTGTGAAGCACTTTTATCTTGTGATCATCTTTTATATCTACATTTAGACAAAGCTATTAGTGCTAAATTATCTCAGATTATAAATCATTAGAATTATCAAATAATATATTTACTATTGCAACTGATGATAGTATAAACATGATAAAGGATGTTCAACTATTAAGTGAATGATTTTTATCACAAGTTAGACAGCAGCCTTGCATTGCTCACATATTACAACTTTCTGTTTTGCAAGGTTTAAAGCAATGCAAACAAGTACATCATTGTGTAAAATGTTTGCAAATTTTTTTTCATCTTCCAAAACAAGCTTAAAAACTTAGAGAAGCTCAAAAAAATTTTAGACTATTACTTGAGAATAATTATCATAATCTGCTTGATGTTTTAACTAATATTAAAACTAAATGGAACTCTATATATTATGCCTAGAAAAGAATATTAGAATTACATAATTCAATAAGATTGGTCTTTACTATATTGTTGGCAAAATCTGATCGATTATCACAACAAGAAGGAGAGAAATTAAAGCAATTGTACTGTATTTGACCTTTAACGAAAAACAGTAAGTAGAAATCTGTATGAACTAGATAAAATTTTTAAATTATATTTAATTATATACTTCAAAATAATACTTGAGAATATTATTTTGTGCAAATATAGTTAGTTTATTAAGTTGTGCAATAAAGTTTTATATTAATATATATAATATTAGCAATTATTTATTTTTTTTTTTATTTAATTTTTTTTTTAACAAGATTTTTTCATGATGCAGTAAAACTTTTAGCACCATTTGAAAAAATAGCATGTTGAATATGTGAAGCCAAATATTGCACTTTAAGTTTTGTCTATTCTTATATAGAATTACTAAAAAAGTTATTTGCATCTAATCATGAAAAAGAAGAAACTTATGAGACATATCTTAAATTAATATATGGGCAACAAGATGAAAATAATGATGATAAGTTAAAAGAAGAATCTGAAAGTTCAACAAGTAAGAAAGATGAAATGCTATCTGGTAGTTCAAGAAAGCATTGACAGTATGCTCATCATCAATTTTGACAAAAAATGCAATTAACTAAAAGAAAAAGAAGACAAAAAAAAGGTAAAAGGAAAACAAATAACAAAAGTATTAAAAAAAAAATCCAGAAACAAATATAAATGATGTTAATTATGTTAAGTATTTACTGCCTATTAATACTGATAGCCTTCTTCAAAAAGTTCAGACAGCTATTTTTTTTTTGTCACTTAATGAATTGTGGTTAGCACAATCAGATTTAGTTTAAATTGTGACAATACTAGATTCCTGATTTAAAGATTTCAAATGAAGTAATACAAAAAAAGAAAAAGATAAATCACTTAAACTACTACAAACACAATATGATTTTGCAAAAGAAGATACTTATACTGAAAATATTAATGTTCAATGAACTGACTATATTGATTGTACTGGTGATGATGATGATTTCTTTCAAGCTTTAGATTGTAAAGAATTAAACAATTCATTTTCAGCTAAGAAAGATAAAGTATCACATTATGTAAAATATCAGCAAATAGATGTTGACCAAGATCTCTTAAATTGGTAAAATATGCACAAAAATGAATTTCTTATTTTATTCTATCTTGTTCAAAAATATCTATCGATTTCTGCAACATCTGTACCAAGTAAAAAATTATTTTCAGATAGGATAATCATATATTAGCCAAGTGTACTCAGTTATCTTCAAATTTAGTTAATCAGTTTTTGTTTCTAAAAAGAAACAGTAAGCATTTTAGCATGTTTTGACCTGAAGAATGTGAAATTTAATTGCAATAACAGAAACCTTACTTCAGGTTTATTATTGGCAATTTATATTTTAGTTTAAATTTTTTTTTACAGAATTAATATAGATGCATATATATATATATATAAAGTAGAAATAATGCAATGATGCTTTTTATATGCACATAGATGTAAATGATTTAAGCACAGCATTTAAAAAATTTTTTTTATTTACTATATAATTAAATAAATTAAGACAAAAACACATAAGAGCTAAAATTATAAACTTTGGATAATCAGAATTATTTAATCAAATTCTATTACTAGGAATAAAGTATTATATCATAACATTTAGTATATAATTATTGTTATATAGTTTTTGTAACCACAAAATTTACATGTTGTAGTTATAGTTCTATTTTTTTTTTTTTGGTGTTAAGATGAGGCCTTGCTCATATCTTTATTAGTAATTTTAGTTGTACATATTAATATACT